ACGATTTTCCTGCTTTTCCATTTTTACGAAAACCACAGAGGCGTCTTGTTCAGCGTGCTGTCAAACCTACACTAGCAAGGAGATCGGGCTGAAACTATAGCTACAAGCTATCCAAGGATGGTACTATAGAATGTCACCTCAAGGTAGGCCTAGTGGCGTCATCTCTTGGTTAGGCCGGAAACTTATCAATCCACCCTCGTATATGCTGGAGTAGCAAATTAAAAGAATGGAAGTTAAATAAGGGATAGCATCGGATCACCTAATGATACAAATTGATCTGAATGTCGTTATAAAGGAAGTAATTGAACAGAAGAAACTAATAACAGAGAGCTAGAAGAAAAAATAAAAAAGAAAAAGGAGAAATTTTCCAATTCTTTGCTGATATGATGGGAGCTTGTGACAGGATAAACATAAATAAAATAAGGCGTATAATGGAAGAAAAAGGAGTAAATATGAAGTAAAGGAAAAGAATAGAAAAAATATATGAAGCAACATCATTTAATGAGAGAATCAATGAAGAAATTTCCGAAAAAAATAGCACGATTAACGGGGTGAAACAAGGATGTCCCTTAAGTATAACTCATTTCAACCTAACTTTTGTGGATCTAGAAAATACAATGAGGAAAATTCAAACGGGAGGAGTAGTCATTGGGAAAGAAGAAAGCATGGACAGTATCTCACGCAGATGATATCGTATTGATGGCGAACAATGAAGAGGGAATGACAGAAATGATGAGAAAAAAGGGAAGGCAAAAAATGTTTCGCCAGGTTTTAGTAGATTTAAATGATGCGGTCTACCAAAAATTCCTAGTTATGGACAAGCACACAAAATCAATCAAAATTTTTATGTTAAATACGGCCACTTACGGAACAAAATCATTACCATTTTTCGCCATTCGTTCACTAAAACAATTAAATAATATGATAGATCATGTGTTAGCTCAGGATGAACCAATGGACTTGTATGGTCAAATTAAATACCCTTGCTGCGTTAAAACTTTATATTTACAAAAACACAACACTATACAAAAACATAATACGTAAAACCTTAACCTACACATAACCCTGTTTATATGCAGATTTCCGAAAATTATTTCCTTTAAATAGCAAAACCGATACGAGAGCGCCTACTAGTCATGAAAGAAACAAATGTACTAATGTACTTCTTTTCTGAAATTGTCTTCGAAAAACTGCCTGTCTCCTCCTTTAACTTTTTTTTATTACTACTTGTTTTCAGTTTTCGATCTGCCTGTACATAAACCATAAAACCCAAAGAGAAAGTTAGCAGGTATAATCCCAGACCTTCTAAATATGTATTTTTCAAAAAAGGACCAGACAACAGTTACATAGTCTTACATATTTTTTCTAGGAAATCTGAACAGATCATGAACTTAAATACTACTGAATTAAAATCATATGTTGTTGTCTTTGTATGTTTTTCGACGAAGGCTGTGCATTTAGAACTTGTCACAGACCTTATTACCGAATCATGTCTAGCTGCAATCAATCGCTTTTTCGGTAGACGCGGGAAAGCTAAAAATCTTTATTCAGATAGTGCAACTAATTTCGTCGGGTCAAAAACTAATATTTTAAAAACTTAGGCGTTACTATTATTAGATACGAACAATAACAGCATTCAGTATACATGATTTATCTAACAAAGGTGTAGGTTGGCATTTTGTACCACTGCGATCACCTCATTTCGGAGGCTTATGGGAGGCTGGAGTAAAACAATTAAACATTTAAAACAACTTAAATATCATTTATATCGGATTGTTGCAGACTCTAGATATTTACTTATGAACAATTTAATAGCTTCATAATTGAAATTGAGGCAATATTAAACTCCCGTCCTCTAACCCCGCTTTCCTTTCATCCAAATGATTTTTCCGTTCTTACTCCTGCACATTTTCTAATTGGAGATCCTTTTATGGGCATCCCACAAGGGAATTTTAGAGACACGCCAACAAACAAGGCATCACTGTGGCAACATATACAAAAGGTTAAGCAGCATTTTTGGACTAGGTGGCACAAGGAATATTTCAACGAATTGTTCCTACGAAGCAAATAACATAAAGGAAGTACCGAACAAATAAAAATTGAAACCCTTCTCACTATAAAGGAGGATAACCAACTGACAATGCATTGGAAAATGGGTCGGGTTATCGCTGTTCATCCTGGACAAGACAACGTGATTCGTGTTGTTACAGTGAAAACAAATAGTGGAACATACAAAAGGTGTTTAAAAAAAGTGTGTCCTTTACCAATAGACGTTAATAGTGAAACCCTATAATCATTCTATTTTAATACATATAATTTAAATTTTTAGGCAATGTTAGTTATTTTTTTTTTAATTTTTAATTAAGTCATTCCACGATTCCATTTTATCCTGTAGAGTGTAGATACATTTAACGTGACGGCCGGCATAATAATGTAAAGTTCATTATTCAGCACAATCATAGCGCATAGCTTTTGTTATACTGGACTGGGTGGTTTAGTTACATTGGTATTGACATCCGTAACCCTCGGGAAACGGAAGGCAATTTAATTTCAATTCCGTTTGATAACTCGCTTTGTAACTACAACCATTATCGATTTCGGTACACGAGTGGTTATTTCAATTGGGTTAAAAACGGGATTTATTAGTTTATTTGTCGCAAATCATACAAGAAAATTAATTTTCATGCATTAATAGTTTTCCGTGAAATACTGACATAATACCAATCTCAATATTAAAATTAAAGAAACTTAAAAAAGCCTGTTTATCTGTTTTATCGTCAGAAGGTTGTCATTTCTAATATTAGTTAGACCCGCACCTCCTATCATAGAACATCCCACAGCAATAGGTAAGGATTTGCGAACAGTGATCTAATCTAATTGTTCATCCGTCTCTCTTTACACCTGTGTCTACTTCTTATATGTCTCTAATTAGCCTCTAATGTTATATCTCTCTTTTTCTACTTCTTACTGACTTCCAAATCGCAACCTCTTCTTCATAAATATTACACCGTACTCCAGGCACTTTTAATAATATTTTTTGTACTTCCAAATTAACGGTTCGTCAGCACTTTTACGCACACCTAGTGGCAGCTTTTTAACGAGAGCTAGCGAGCAATCGCATTCTTTTGAATTTTTAAGGAAAACAAACCAAAATGCGACTGAGTATAAAAGTTAAAAGTAAACTTAATTGTTATGACATGTTGCCAGCCAAAGTGTATAGATACAGAATAAATATTCACAACTGAAAGTATGATTTATGACCGCCTGCAAAAATGCCTACGATTTACGGCAGATCATGAGTGATCCTTCTGTTTAGAATATATTTGTATTGTGGAGTTACCGATCGATCTATGTTGGTCAATGCATAGGTACTCGCCGAGAAGATCAAAGACTTATTATTGATCCGTGTAGCCGTTGGCATTACATTGGAGATGGAGAAAACTACGAAATGAAAATATTAATATCTCATTCGTTACCTTTATATTGGCGTAGTAACTGCATAAAAACAGCTGAGGTGACAACAATAAATTAAAGCAACTAAATTTTTGTACCATATTCTCCATTGCAGTGGTGACCTTTTCACACTGGACAACAAGTTTTAGTAATCTTCTCGAATAGATTTTGTTAAATTCACACTTCCAATTTTACCTACCAGAAGAATTTCACTTAACTTAATGTTAATTCGACAACCAATTGCAATTAAAATTCACTACAAATAATTAACTACAAGCATGTTGTTAATAAAATACAAGTTTAACAAATTTTTTTCACGGTGAAGGGAACCATGTTGTTCATTGTTTTAATATAATTTATAACATCGGATTTAGTTTAGCCACTCTATCAATATTAAATGAACCAACAAGAATAGCAGTTTGCTTATGTACTACTTAATTAAACTCCAATTTTAGAATTGTGGCCCTTTGGTTATGACTAGGCGATCGTAATGCCGGCGGCGATGTAATTTAATTAAAAGTTTGTAATAAGTTCCAATTCAGTATTTTACTCTTGACAGCAATAAATTCTGATGCCGACTATAATGGAGTGGAAGAACATCATTCAAATTGTTTAGAAACACTTAAATTATTATCGTTACGATTTATATGTAATATTTTATACATACGTTAACTAAAGTAGAAAGTAGTTTTTTGTAGTAATTAGGGGTGAGTATTCCTTTTAATTTTTAATACGTAAATGAGCTTTTACTGACAACCGAAAATGTCAAAATGAAATGCTGATGTATTTGGATTTTGATAACAGAATAAAAATGAAGGATCGAACCAATGCATTGTAAAATACCTTGATAAAGTAGCAGGTGCTTTTATAAGCGTTCGCACTAGAACCACAGAATAAGTAAGACTATTGCCTTCCCTATAAAATTATAGTCAATAATTAAAATCTAATCTAATAGACACATGGTAAATAACTGTACTGATGATATTAAAGTAGTATTTAATATACAATAAAACTAATTATTATGCACTAATATTATCAAGGTTTTCATTTAGAAATTTTAAGGCATAAGTACGCCGGTTTATTTTATATATTTTATTTAGTTGCTGATTTTATTATTCGCAACACTCCTGGACAAGGAAAAATTAAAATGAAAGAATTAGTTGCATCAAAAATTACAAAAGATTAATAATATTAATATGCAGTATACTAAAATAGAGTAGATGTGGGAGTATGATGTTAATGATGCATCTTTTTGCTTTCCTTGTATATTGCTTCATTTGAGTGAAATAGTAATTGAAATGCTTAGGTACTCGAAGCAACGTCGTACCAATGTAACACATAAGTAAGTAAACCAATTAAGCACTTGAGACAGTTCAAACTAAGGCGTAGTGGCATAACATTACTATGGTAACTGTATTATTTCTTTGGAATTATGAAACATGTGAAATATCACAATTAAAAACAAATACCAGTAGATGAGGATATACCTACCGCTTGTAATTTGATGATGATTTATAATTTCCCATTATTATAGCAAAATAGATGAGACTGTTAATGTAATAATCATCTGCTTGAATCAAATAGTAAAACAGAGCATTTATAATGCAATGATGTAAGACACCAACCTTCAGACACCATTTTTTATTTGATTTGATGAGTGAACACAATTTTATGAAACATTCAAGTAGCTGTATCAAAATCGGGTGGTTTTGCTATTAATAATCAACTCGCATGCATGCTTACGTGAAAGCACATCACGATCATAAGCGCATTTTTTTGCTAGATCAGACCACATCAAAAGAACGACAGTAAAGAATTACTTCGCGAATAAACTGCTAATTCAGCTGAACCAGTTCTTTTTCTCATACTTATTTTTGATAAGTTACGCTATCGAAAAGTCATTAGCAACATACGACACGTTTTTCCTTCGACTACTACGACTATTATTCGCGAAAAATCAAAAACGTTATTTTCTTATCCCTTGAGAGTCAAAGTAAAGTCCACAAAGTGAATCATTAACTGTTTCTCAAAATATCAACATTTGAATTTTCAATTCTTAAGTTTTAAGTTCTGAAACGAAACACGCCAAAATTTTTTATGTCTATGGGTTAAGCAAAAAGCGCAAAAAGAAAATCGTACCTAAAAGCTAAAATAGGATCTTGTAAGGTATGTAGCATTTGTTCTACTTATGCCATAGTTTTTATCAGTTAGATGATCGACTTAACCTGAAGCGTGTTATGGATCTATCTTATTACTATTTACATTAATTTATTCTCGCAGCTTTACAACAACAACAACCTTATCCAGGACGAAGTATCACTCCTTCCTGTCATTCCAAAGACCCTAAAATCCTAAGGGACGTCTACCATTTTTTCAACCATCTGAAGTCGAGATATTGAAAAATTCCTATACATCCGGAGTCACGCCCTCTGACTGCCTTCACCGTACCTGATGGAGGGAAGTTTCATTTCCGAGTTATGCTATTCAGGTTAAAAGGAGCTCCCGTCACTTTTCAACGTGCAGTGTATCAGGAAGCTCTAGCAGAATACCTCAAAAAATTCTGCATCGTATATTTGGAAGACACTATTGTCTTCTCTCGTACATCAAACACCTACGTCATGTGTTCGAGAAACTACAACAACAAGGACTCGCTTGCGCCCCCGAAAAATGCATCTTCGGCTCAAGGACGTTAACCTACTTGAGATGCCCCATCTCTGAAAAGGGAAACTGCCCGCTACCCAGTCATTTCGGAAAAATCCATGAAGCGCCTGCGCCAACTACGCGACGGATCTGCTGAGTCCAAAAAGAAAATGAACCTTGACGAAAACTCTTGTACGAACTAGAGTGGGTGGATCGGCTTCAGAGTTTCGATGATTTATGGAGCTGGACCATACAATTATACAACCATAATGGGGGGAGGGGGTTCTTAAAGAGAAACCAGACTAAGAAAAGTCCCTAAAAGGGGGCAGAAATATTTTCAGTACTCAGGGTGGCAGAAATCACGAGGATCGGTATGGCACTCTGATGCACAATATGATGGCGTCCTCTGGGGTAAACCACTTCGGGCGTAAATTAGTCCCCAATTCGGATGTCCGGACGGGAACATGTCATCAATAAGTGCAATAGGGGAAGGTGAAATATTTCACGAGTCGGAGCGTGGAATGTTAGGACAATGAGGCAAGCAGGGAAATTATAAAATTTAAAAATACAGATCGATAGATTAGAATTAGATATAGTAGGCATTAGTGAAGTCTGTTTGCCCGAAGCTGGAGACTTTTGGAGTGGAGACTTTAGAATAATTCACATAGGATTGGTGGAAGGTAATTCGGGGGGAAAACTGTAATGCGTAGGAAAGCAGGGCAGAGTGCAGAAAGTCATTTACAAAAAAGCGATAGGATAGTTATGGTTAAATTAAACTCGAACCAGGTACAAACAGTATTAGTGCAAGTCTACATGCCTACATCATCTTAAAATGATAATGACGTGGAAGCGGTTTATGCAAATATAGAAGACGTATTAGGTTTAGTGAAAGAGCAGCAAAATCTAATAGTTGTAAGCAACTTCAACGCAGTAATAGGTGAAGGTAAAGAGGATGCAATAGCAGGTTCTTTTGGATTAGGAAATAGAAATGATAGGGCAGTTAGACAGACAGAATTTTGCGTTAAACATAAATTAACCGTCGCGAATACTTTATTCAACCATCACGTTAGGAGGCGCTATACGAGGAAGAAGCCAGGTGATTTAGGGAGATATCAGTAAGATTATATACTTGTTAGGCAAAGATTTATAAATCAAGTGAAGGATTGTAGGAGTATCGAGGAGAAAATATAGATAGTGACCATAGCGTAGTAGTTATGAACACCAATCTTAAACTGAAAATTCTGAAAAAGAGAGAAGGTGGGAATCGTCTTGACTTAGAGAAACCAGAATGTAACGTAACGCGTGATAGGCTAGGTAAAAGGACAGACGAAATACTAAGTGGTGGGCGCTGCGGAAAAGAAAAGGTTAGAAGCGTTCGAAATGTGGTTTTATAGGCGAATGGTGAGGATACCGTGGATAGAGAAAGTTAAAAATGAAGAGGTATTAGAAAGAATAGGAGAACGGAGGACTCTATGGAAGTCAATAAGAAATAGGCGAGATAGTAGGTTAGTAGGACACCTCCTCAGGCATGAAGATCTACTCAGAGACATATTAGAGGTAGAAACGGAAGTTAGGAGCGGTAGAGATAGACCTAGGTTAAATTACTATTCGCAAATAGTTAAGGACGTGGGTTGTTCTAGTTTTAGGGAAACGAGAAGATTAGCTCAGGATAGGAATGAATAGAGGTGCATGTCCAATCCGTCTTAGGACTGACAACCTTATGATGATGAAAAATAATTCCAAAATAAAAATTTTGTACAAAAAAATTATTCTGAATTAAAATTATGTACTTACAAAAATTTCATTGATTCAGTTCTCATGATACTATAATATATTTTTTCTGTATTTAAATGGTGATTAGTGAATAGCAAAACGGCGTGCAATAGATATGTGTGATATTACAGACGGATGATGTGATAATACCGTGCATAGAAAAGGTTAGTAATGAGAAAGTATTGAAAGGAATAGGAAAACGTAAGGCGTTACGGAAGTCAATAAGAAAGAAGTGAGATAAGATTGTAGGATACTTTTTGTGACATAATGGGCTAGTTAAAGATATACATTAGAACTTGCTCCTAATATGTTAATAATAAATAGTTACCTATGGATGTAGGATATTTTAGTTTTCGGAAAACGCAAAGATTAATTAAGGATATGAATAAGTAGCGATGCCTGTCTAGTCAGACATGATAAAGAAAAACTAACCCAGAAAAAGAATTATACAATATATGAAATTAATTAAAATAACTAATATCGTAAGAAACTAATTATGTAGATAAAGGAAGTATTGTAATAGAGAAATAGAAATGTTTATTCCAAAATAGAATTGGTACTATTTGTGTAGGTCACTTTGAACTTCACTACCCCTCGTCTGTTGTTAGTTTCAAGTGGTGTCAGTAGATTATTTACATCTGTAGATCCGTTACAGCAATAGAATAATAATAAAAAGCTCTTTTCTGAGTACATCTACTTGCCAAACTGAAATTTAAACGTACTTTATACATGCGATAAAGCACGGAGCATGTTGGATAAGGAACATTAACTTCTCGTACTATTTAAAATAACAGTGTTTGTGTTTACTTTGGTTTATATGAGAACAATTCGAAGATGATATTTTGATTTGAGTAAGAATTATTAAAAACTCCCGTAGTGAATCTTCAATTTTTCTGCTGCAAATTCTGTTATATCGTTTGTCAATAATGTTCAGCTTCGCCGAAACACAATGTTTTCTTTAAGATTTCCTACCAGAAAATACGAATAACATTTGAAAGAAGTCGAAAGCTAAAAATAATAAAATTACGAACTACCGTAAACAGAAGAAATAATGTTACGGAAAGACAATATACGGCATAGTCTTACTTCATTGTCAAGTCATGAGTTGCTGAATTATCCGAATGCTATGGCGAATGCTGACAGGTTTTACAAAAATCGACGGATAAGAAAATCGAGAA